TTTTAAAAAATTGAATAATTTTGATGTACTCTATTCTTTAATGGGTATTAATAAACGACTTGATAGTATTTTACAAGATTCAATTTTTACAAGATATTTAACATTGACAAAACCACCTAGTGGTTCAAAACAATTTACTGATACAATAATTGATCGAATTTGTGTTGAAATATTACCTAAAATTCATGATAAAATTGAATGGCTCAATATTGAATCATCATTTATTAATCGTATTCTTCTTTCAACAAATTACCCTAATTTACATACACTGGTTTTACACGATCTTTCATTAGAAAGAGCGAGAGATCTCTTTACTAGTAAGATATTTTCTTTTAACTTTTTCAATGATTAATTCTATGAAAATATTAAAATAATTTATCTTTATATAATCAGAATTTAATTTAAAACATATTTTTTTTTGCTAAAAACTTTTCTTTCTAATATTTATTAATGAATATGAATTTGAAAAAAATTTAAATATTATTTTATAATGACTTCAATTAAAGTTCTTTGATTCTTAAAGGAGAAAATTTGTAATATAGAATAAATGATCAAGATAAAAAAAACACATTGACGATAGAATATATTCTTATTAAAGAATTTAAATGAAGATCATTTATTAGTGATTTATAAATAAGAAAAAGAGAATTGATTATTTAAAATTAACTAAAAAATAATTTCATAAAAATATTTAATGTTTATTTAGATAGAAGTTATTTTATTTGTGTTTTCGAATATCAATTATCATCACTTGTTATTCATACTGATGAAAGTCAAGAAGCAACAAGTTCATTTGAAGATATCAATATATTTCTATATACACAAATCTTGACTATGTTCAAGAATTTACAATATTTAAATTTCAGTCCATTTGCTCATCCTAATAATCATCAATTAACATTTAATTTATCATCTCCAAATGTTTTCTCATCAACTCTATTACATCTACATGTCATCGTAGATACTTTCGAAGATTGTCTCTATTTACTTGATGGTCGTTTCAATCAACTTCATACATTCGATGTTACCATTTATTTTAAAAATGTTTCTGTATCACCATTGATCAACAATAAAGTAAATGATTGATATTAATATCTATTGAATGAATCAATAATAGTTAGATTGATTAACTATCGTTTTGTTTTTGTAGAACAATCTTCCCAATTTAAAATGCTTTCGGTTAACTCATAAATCGATGTTGGTCTACAAAACTTTTCTTATTCCACTTTTACGTCGAATGCCAAATTTAGAAGAACTCGGTTTGTATTTTGTCAATCCGATTGGACCAATTATTGATGGTATTAATTTGAAAGAAAATATTTTCAATTATATGCCAAAATTAAAGAAATTCGAATTTGATATTCATTCACTTATTCGTTTTAATAATCAATTTAATTTACCATCAAATGAAGATATTCAAAATACATTTAAAAATGTAAAAAGCAATCAAATAATTTCATGTATTGATTATTTTCCAAAAATACATGAATTTCAGTGTCATATTTATTCATATCCATATACATTGAATTATTATGAAAGTATAACGAACAATTTTCCTGGTGGATTATTTACATGTGTTCATCACATATCATTATTTGATGAACGTCCTTTCGAACATGAATTTTTTCTTCAAATTGCTAAATCATTTCCATTTATCAAAGACCTACGTTTATGTAATTTGGAACCACAAAATAATAATAAACAACAACAGTCAATTATTGAATATCCTCATCTTATTATACTTGATCTTCGTAAAATTCATGTAAATTATCTGGAACAATTTTTGAATAATACTAAAATGTCTTTATTAAATGATATTATTCTCCATGTGAATTATAATTTATTACAAAGAGTAACAGACAATTTTACAAGAAATGCCGCACGAATCAATTGTTCCAAAGTCCAACGTCTATTTTTATACAATAAACGAGAATTATCTCCAGGTCTAAAAGACTATTTTCCTCGTGCAGCAATATTGTGATTATTGTTATTTATTTTTTGAATAAAATTTGAAATATAAATGACACTGTGTTATTTGATATTTTATAGGAAAAAGATAAAGTTAATATATCTTTGAAAAAGATTACATATGAGTTATGTGAGTAAGAAAAAAGTTACTTTGCAAGAAAGAAAAAAAATTTACATTGAATTACAGTTGTCGATCTAATTAAGTGTTATTATAAGATATATCAACCAAACCAAAGAAAACTCCTTGCTTTTACTTTGAAAATCTGTTAGACATTTGTGTTGTCTAGACTGAAAGGATAAGTTCTAGAAATGGGAATTGATTTGTATTCATCCGTTTGTCTACTTCTAACATAGTTGAGAGTATGGTGTCAGAGGTGAGCACAGAACAGGACGGTGCGGCCATCCTGTATTCCTGTCCTGTCCTGTCCTGCAGGACAGGACACCACTTCAATTTTTGTCCTGTCCTGCCGCTCAACAGGACAAGGGTAGTGGAGCGGCAGGACAGAACAGGACAAATACGTTGGTCCTGCTCTTTTTATGTCGTTTTTTCTACAATTTTTTACATAGTACCAATTGCCATTGGTTATAGTTGATGCGTACTATGAGCCGTGAATGTACTACTTAAAGGATAAGTTGTGCTAACTTTAGCATTTGGCGGTAAAAGTGGTGGAGTAGAGCTCATCAGGTCGATCTTGAACATAGTCAAGTCTGGTCCGGATTCGGAATTGAAAATTCTCTTTGTTTGGGTCAGATCCTAAACTTTTGTGTTGACCGAGTTCGGGCTTCAGTGGAAAATTTTACACTTAACGGAACCTATTTAAGAAAAGAACCAATTATAACTTGATTATTGTGAGATTATCGACAATATTGCCTGAGAAATGTGTATGTTATACGAGTCACCAACAAAAATCACCGAAAAAAGTACCATGTATTTGCGGAGCAACAATCAGATTACTTTATAAAAAAACTTTATTGAAAGGATTAATACTGCTGTTCATTTGTGAATCTGGGTCTGACAAGTTTGGTCCAGAATGGCTCTAGTCAGGAGTCGAAAGACGATTTTCTGGAGCGACATCACTTATACAAAAAAGACGAACTAACATCAATTTAGAATAATTAGATCATATTTCACTGGTGCAATACATGTAAAAGTATGAAAGATTTTTTAATGAGTATGTCTTTTAGTGTTTGTATATAATACTTTTTTTACTTGTAACGCTTACATTATTGAGGCACCCACTCATTGTTTTATTACTTTGTCTATTATTGATATTACCTACTGTGTGAATCTAATAACGATAATGAAATACATAATAACTTTCGCGACTTCTTTCATATGCATTTTTTACTAAGCTATGTGTGTTGTTGGAAAAAAATGACTAATTGTGTTTATCCTGCTTCATATCCTGTCCTGTCCTGTCCTGCCGCGCAGGACAGGATAGGAAGTCGTTTTTTGTCCTGCCCTGCCGTTCAGCAGGACAACGGATGGTGGAGCGGCAGGACAGGACAGAAAAAGTTGTCCTGTGCTCATCTCTGTATGGTGTCTTGTAGGTTATACAGAAAAATTGTAGAAACAAAATTTGATCTGTATCTATTGTCTGTCTATTCCTCATTAATATGATTCAGAATGACTGTAGTGCATCCTCTGAACGAAAAAATGTGCCTTCATTCAACTGTTTAGTAAGATTTATTTGACTGATTAGTCATGTATACATATTATTGTCTGGTCAAAGAATTAACCGTTAAAGACTATTTCATCATTTTGAAGATAGAATTATACAAAATAAAATGCATATATGATGAATATTAACGTTCATTGTTTTAAGAGAGATGTCATAAGAAAACTAAGGATGTTCTGATATCAGAAAAGATGTGAATCAATAGGTTTTGAATTTGAGTGGAGAGAGGAAGCCAGATGTATGGCATATCGTGTGTGAATCTAATATAATATGGTCTAAAGATTTATCTCCAATCTGCTAGGAGAAATTGACCGAAACATCCTTAAAAATATCTGTAAAAAGCGCCAGAAATTCAACTTTTCTTTTTTTTGTGAATTTTTTTCTTGAAATTTATTCATTGTTCCTATCGACTTATGTCAATCGAAAGAGCTTGACTTGTTCTATAAAACAGTGTATATGAGGATGTGGGAGTTTATATACATCCAACAGATCTGTTTGTCATCTGATAATTGAAATTGTCCATTTTGATATATCTGTAATCAGCTGGTAACTGTTCAGATTGGTCGTGAAACGATTATCAATGTTCAATAATCTTACATATGAAACAGTTGGTTTCATGACCTTTTCTTGATGTTAACTTCGTACAATATTTCGCGTTGTTCAATGATTAAATGAAAATTTTTGTACCAATTGATTTTTGTTCGATCTTATCCTGGAGACATATGAAAGATGTAAAGGTATTCGCGTGTGATTGCCTATAGTTTTCACGTATAAAACGGCTATGAAATTTGACTTTTTCTATGTGTCATGCTGAATAATATATATCAGCAATATTAGAATCGCCACAAAACAATGCTTGATAGCCTGATCATAAGAAATATGTAAAGAAACTTTCACAAATTGATAACAATAATTAAATCAACTATTCAAGTGTATTCAATCTATTTTATGCATGTTATTCACAATACTAAAGCTTTTTCGAAAGTATCCGTTACTAGGTAACCTATACTAAACGTATTTAACTTGACTATGTTTATTGTCTTTTAGCGAGATTTATGTAAATAGATACATATTTGGTTAGAACGACAAGTTCATCATCGTTCCAGACTGTAACATCTTTAAGTCGATGATGATGTTCATACTAATTCATTTTCAAAAATTGTCCATCTGCTGAAATATAAAAGAATAGACGATCATCATAATTCGGAACTAACTATTGATCACCATTTATTGAACAGCAACGATAACGACCATGACTATGAATTGACCATATACATTCGAGCACGGGGAAACATCTCATTCGGACATTCCTAGCCATTCCCAGCCATTCCCATCCATTCGCGGCCATTCCGAATGGTCACGAATGAGATTTTTCCCCCTTGGGTTTTGGCATATAACGGTGAAGTTCCACCAAATGCTGTTCCGGGTGGACACGAGGCCAATGGTCAAACACTCTATGTTGCACGGTTTATCACAAAAGAAGGTCAACTAGCACCGGGTAAACTTGCTCTACAGTATAGACAAGCTTATGCTAGTTATGGTGGCCGAGAAGAATCTTCCAACGTCTATCAAGTTCTGACTCATCCTAATCAACAGGAATTAAAATGGGTTCATACTAGTGGAAATAATCTACCGACAGGAGCATTACAAGCTGGAGGTGATTATAGAAGTCCTTTATTTATCGGTCGAGCCCCATTTAAAGGTGGTTTATGTTGCGGAAAATTTGAACCAAGTCATGGTTGTGTTTATATCCCATGGGGTGATCAAGAGCATTGTATACCGAATAATTTCGAAGTTTTGTGTTTGACTAGAATTTGTGAATAAATTTTGTCAGTGTAAAGCGTAGTAAAGAATAAAATCAATGATTTGAAGAAAATAAGAAAACGTTGGTCAAAAAATTAGACCTATATCTGAATTATCAAAGATATGATTTCAAAAATTTGTTACTGTAGCAAAAGATGCATGAATTCATTTTCGAATAAGATCAATATCGATTATTTCTCATCGGATACATGTTTAATCAATACAGGAAAGATCAAATTCTTTTAAAACTTATGTAAAGACTAATCATGTTGAATTAATTCTAGACACTTTCATTGGACTAAATTCAAATGACAAATGGATCTGATTTTTTTTAGCTTCATTGATTTGCCTCAACAATTCTAATCATACGATGAATAACGTGTAACTGAAATGTGTTTGTTTTTTACTTAAGATTTCAATATGTTTTTCAGGAATAAAGGATATTGACTAAAGTTTGTTATGTTCAATATCGACTCATTATCAGTTGTCAACATCAGATAGCTTTTTGATTTGATAGAAAACTAACTGCTCAAATTTGTCAGTTGATCTTTGTGGTTATTTTTTTGGAACGCTAATTAGTGGTTTTGACCACTGAGGTTCTGCACCGGGATCTTTATGATTATTAGAATGAGTATATAAGAAATCTGTATTAGTACTTGAATGACATAGAGACATAACAGAGGAGTTTTTCCTTATATTTGGAAAGACATCAATCGATGACAGTAGATATATTTATTAAAAAATAAGAACGGCTATTGACAAAGGCAATAGAGAAATAACAGAAACAATAAGGATACATAAAGGGTGTTTCCTAAGTTCTGATCCACAATTGTTAATGATAGTTCTAATACTTTTTCTTGAGATAGAGAGCTGAAATCTTCATCACATCTAT